AAATGCAACGTCAGTCGTTATCTTCTGTCTTATTGAATCCTATTCATCTTTTGTCCTTTCCTCAATCCTACTTTATTTAATATTTTCTCTCACTTTCATTTACGGTAGCCCACACCCCCACTGCGTACTAGTGGAATTTCCGCCTTGCTTGGGGTGAAATGATTAATTAAAAAAAATGTCTAAAGTGCGCCAGGTGGGCGCGATGTTCACTCACACATACAGCATCTTTCTCAGCTCTTGGGAAAGGTCCTGGTATTTTCCGAAATTTATCCATTTTCTTCACTTTGTTGAACTACACTATTATTATTATTATTATTCATTGATTGTTCCCAACAGAAGTAATCAGTTTTTCACACTGGAGATAAAGTAGCAAGTGCCATATTATTATTTTTAATATAAGTTCTATTATAATTACCAATTTTATGACCACAACTAAGTCATTTTCTTCAATTATTCTATCAATATCATTATCCGAAGATATTGTAAAGAATAGCATCTTGGAATGGAAAGTCGGAGTACCGAGTTCGAATTCCAGTTAAGTTTGTTACCTTATTTTACGCATAAATACTCTTGGGAAAGGTATGAACCCATTTCTTCTCCACCCAGCTATGGGTTAAATAGCAGAATACACTGGACCCTACAGTCCTGTTTAACAGCAAAAGGAGAGAGTTGGCCTTCACCAGGCTATCTTACCCAAGACACATCACTGTTACTGCAGTACACGTGTTGCGCCAACAACCCTAATTAGTTACGGGATTCGTGGTCGAGATCTCTATTAGTATCAGTTCGTTAAGAGCAATATTTACAACTACTACTACTATTTTGTTTATTTTTTTTATTTAAATTTCACATCCCTTCAGGGCGGAGGCGATCATGGCTCTCCACAGATTCAGTTTTCTTTATTATCTGCGAATTGCCATGCATTCTCGGCAAAGATAATTGAGTTGTTTGCCATTACCTTTTCTATGGTTTAAAATTCAGAAATTTTCTATCTTTTAGATTTGTTGTTACCCAAGCTTAAGGAGCCTAGTCTACCCTGCTATTTCACTTTCGGCGCCGATATCCGTTAGACAACCGCACTGGAACTACTCCGACTGTCTTTTATCAACTATTAGTACTGTTAATATACTGAAATTAGTGCTACTGCTGCTTTTTTGAAATTACTACTAATACCCCAGCTATTCTGCATCTTTTATTAATATTTTAAACTATTTTTATACGCTACTAATAGTATTTGAAACTAATTATAGTACCACGGCTTTCTTAAAACAGCGATTCGGGTGTGCTATTTCTACGTGTGGGGTCTGTATCCGCGCTCACACCGATAAAGAAGCTAATACTACTATTTTGAAATAGTTAATCCTACTACTATTTTCTAGCTACTACTACTACTAATAATATGAAATATTGCTATTACTACTACTACTTAAACTACGGCTATAATTAATAATGTGGGTGCTGGAAACGTCTAGGCTGGAGCAAAAAAATCGTAAAGCAAAAATGCAATGTTTGGTCAGATTTTGGGAAGTAGGTCGGGCTGACAACTTTTCAGCTACTCTTTTATATCTATCTTGATATTAAGTAACTGTGATCTTTTTTGTTTATTCACCCCAAAATATTAATTTACTCCAAAATAATAAAAAAAAAATTATATTTACTAAAATCCATACCAAATTCTCCAAGAGCGAAGCCCTTCCATTGCACTGCGGTTGGGTTGACCTTTGTGATCGCCCCAAATGTGGGCGATTCGGGTGTGCTATTTCTACGTGTGGGGTCTGCATCCGCGCTCACACCGATAAAGAAGCTAAAAACAGGTACCTCGAATATCATCCGGAATGTAAATAACTCCCAGATTTTTGGCAATTTTTCATTCTAAGGGTTGGAGTTGTTCCGAGGCAAGCGAAACAAATTTTGATTTAAAATTTATAATTTCAAAACAGTGCTAAAAATTTAATAAAAATCAAACAAACTTTGATTGAAAATTTATAATTTCTTCGGGTGAATTAATATTTGCGATAAGTAACTTTACACTATCTGAGGTCAATTAACAGAAAAGATCCAGGATCTGGTCTTCATACTTATATAAAATTAATAATACAGCTAATACTATTACTATTATTGCACATACTATTATTTAAAGCTGTTAACATAATTTTTATATCGCGACTCACACACGAACGGATTCTATTATTGCTAATACTTCTTTTATTTCGGTCAGAGTAGCCACCAGAATCCCGATTAATAAAACCGTTAGACATTAATGGACATATTAATATTACCGTATATATAACGATCTGTATATTTTCAGTTACGATTGCCACTATTACTACTGCATCAATCGCTGATAACTACAATGCAAATGAATACTACGATTAATACTGTTGAGACTGCCGTTCCCGCTTCTCATGCCTTCTCGCGTTATTTCGCGTTGTTTTCTATTTTTACTTTTACTTTCTTTCGTCCATTACTGTTGCTTTGTGTTGTGGACGTTTTTTTCTTA